TTCTCTGCCCTAATTACCAGCTGATCAATATCAGGCCGTAGCCTGAGACCCGTCCAATTTTTGTGTCATCTGCAAACTTACTGCTTATACCTTCTACGTTCACATCCAAGTCATTAATGTACTTAACTAACAGCAAGGGTGCCAGCACCAAATGCTGTGGTACAACTGGCCACAAGCTTCCAATCACAAAAGCAATGCTGCATCATCACCCTTTGCCTCCTGCTTGCAAGCCAATTTTGGATCCAGTTTGCCAACTTGCCTTGGAGTCCATGGCCTCTTTCACACAGCCTTCCATGTGGGACCTTGGCAAAGGCCTTACTGAAGTCAATGGAAAGCACATCAACTGCACTACCTTCCATCAATACATTTAGTTACTTTTTGAAAAAACTAAATCAGCCAAACAGGATCTCCCTCGAACAAATCCATGCTGACTATCCCCGCCTATCCAAGTATTGATTAATCCTGTCTCTCAGAATTTTTTCCAATTAATTGTCTACCACTGCCATCAGACTAACCGGTCTGTAATTAACTGACCTATCCCTGCTGCCCTTCTTGAACCACATTAGTTATCCTCCAGTCATCTGGCACTTCATTAAATATCTCCACCAGTGCCTAGCAATCTCCTCCTATAACAGACTGGAACACATGTTATCATGCCCTGGGATATATGCACCTTTATGCCTGCTAAAATATCTAATATCCCCTCCTTTTAAACCTTAATGTTTTGTAGAATCTCACCATCCCAACTGAAATCCATGGCTACAATGTCTCCTCTGTGAATACAGATGAAAAGTATTCATTTAAGATCTCACCCACATCCACTGTCTCCACATACAGGTTCCTCTTTTGTCTCTAATAGGTCCCACTTTTCCCCTGTAATCCTTTTACTCTAAGTGTACTTATGAAGAACCGTTGGGTTTTCATGATCCTATCTGGAAAGATATTTCATGACCCCTCTTTACCCTCCTAATTTCTTTTGTAAACTATGCCTTACACTCTCTATACTTTTGAAGGGCCTCCTCTGTTTTTAATGTGCTGAACCTGACATACGCTTCCTTCTTTTTCTTTATCAAACTCTCAATATCCTTTGACATCCAGGGTTAGCTGGACATGCTGCCCTTGCAATTTACTCTTAGAGGAACACGCTGGCCTTGAATTGTCACTATACTACTGTTAAAAGACACACTCTTTCCAAATGTAGACTTACCTGCAAGTAGCTGCTCCCAGTCTACGTTTGCCAGATCCTGCCTAATGAGATTGAAATTCACCTTCTCCCAATTTAGACACAGCTTTTACACTATCGTCATCCCTTACAATAATGACTTTGAAACTTACAGAATTATGGGCTGTAAATCCCAAAATAATCCCCCCCCCCCCACCCCTGCCACCCTGAAACTCCAACAACATCATTCTCTCATGAGAGGAAGTGTGAAAGAATGGCTGCTAATGTGGCGTACGGCAATCTCCAGTCCCACCCTGCAGGAGAGGGGAGTCACCCCGGTAGAGATACTGGGCTAAAATGTGACGGACAGCTGGATTGAATAAGACCAGGCCCTGCATCATCTTCCACACGATAAACAGTGAAGGTGAGGTAGTTACCATAGCAATGACAGATTATTGTCTGCAAATGGTCTCACCCACATCCTGAATAAGTATGTATCAAGGAAGATTTTAACACAAATGAGATTGGACACCATCTTTCATCTGATCACTCTTTAATGTTTAAAAATGAAATGTGTAATGGTATGCAAAGCATGGGATACGCCGTTGCTATGACCTGCACCAACATTAATGGCACCAAAAAAGCTGCCACTTCTTGCGATAGAAAATGCCATGTTGCTTTGCGAAGATCAAGACAAATTGTAATATAAAAACATTTTTTCAATCACTGAATCACTTTGGTACGTTGGGTTCAGAGGGGCTTCACTTAAGACTGATACTTGGGCAATTTCCCCCCATCCATGATTTGGCTTTCACTGCACCACTTTCAGAAAGACTGACGAATGGCAGACTAATAATGTAAAGGGTACGTCCCATTCAGTTTATCAAGTTTGCTCCCACCAGCTTATGCACAATCTACCCTTTCCTAGGCTCCATTCCACCTGTATGTCCCCTGATGCAAGGTGTAATTTCACAAAATGAATGTTTTGAAAATATCAAAAAGGTCAACGTCTCAACTCTTGTCCTCCCAACTTCCACAGCCAATATTCTTCTCACATGTCACCATAATGATGGGGTAAGGCTTAAATTATCTTTACATTGTTAATCTTCAAATCTGATTATCTCTCTAGCCTCAAACTGATCAGTTCCTTTCTGACAGAGTTGAACAATCCAGTTGTGCATCTGGAATCTGTGGAAATTTTTTCCCCTCTCCTTCCTGCCATCCCAAGCTGTATAGAAATGCAGTTGCTCTGCTTCAATATCTTTGTATTTTTGGCTGGAAAGGTCCAAATGAAAATAGTCCATTCGACATTCTGTACTAGGAATTCAAAGGCTAAGAAAATACCATGTGAGCAAAGATTGATAACAATGCAGATCAACTACTGGTGGCTTTAAATCCTGAATCAAGTAGGCAGAAGATAACATAGAATTGTGCAAAAGAGAAAACAGCACTTGAGAAATTACAAACGTCTACATAGAAGGCTGGAGAAACTCAGCAGGTCTGGCAGTATCTGTGGAAAGAAAAAGAGTTAATGTTTCATGTCTGGTATGACATCTTCAGAGCATTTCTGAAGATGCAGTCATGTCTACCCCCACCAGTTTTTAGCTGCTCCTATCTGTTGTGTGTCACCTTGTCCAATGAGAGAGGGAAGAGTGTTGGTGAGAGACTTGGAATGTGTTTCGATGATGCTACTGGCCGAGCTAGATTTAAATGGAAGCAGTGAGATCTGAGTGTGAGGCTTTCTGAATTGTCAAGTGTGAGAGAATGAAAAAGAGAAGAGGCAAGCTAGTCATGAGTCTTAACAGAGAGATGCTGAGCAAATGGGGATGTAGTGCATCGCTTAGTGGGTGAGGTTGGTGGTGTGGTGGGTTGGACATTATGTTTGAAAATGCATTTGGTTGATCTTAACTACTTATGTCAGGTCACTGAATATTTCTGGCATTGTAGACATGTCTCTGGGGCTAGATTCTTCACATTGGACTTTGTGGGTACCTGCTCCCAATCCAATGTGTACAGGATATCCTTGGCTCCTGAAGAAATATGATCTTTACTCTTTTCTACTAAGGCCTCCAAAGCTGGATCATAGAAACCTGGGAACACTCTGTGACCTGCAGCTCCATTGAGTCTCTTTCTTCTTTGTAAGGAGCACATTCGGGGAATGTCCCAACTCCTGCCACTGCTAGAATACAATCCCACTTGAAACGATGGGCCTTATCACAGTCATGGAGATGAGTGGGCACAGCTCTACGTTTGAAATCTGCCTGCATTGCTTTGATCGGATGCAGGGTAAGATTGCATTGCAAACCCTGTTTTCACAAATGGGCCATACACAACATTTTGTGCGTAGAGTATAACACAAATATTGCATACAGTTCGATTGTATTTACTTTAGTTGGAGATGTGTCTCATTACTCTGAGTGTGTATTTATGTGCAACGAGCGATGTCTATCAAATGCAGTAGATGAGTTGGATTTCAAATAAATTGACCTCATTTATTAACTTTAGAATATTGATCAGAAAAGGTCACTTGACAGTTTGTGCACCTAGAACCTGAAGAAGGAAAGAAACCAAAAAAGCAGATACTTTCTCGTCAACTTGTTCAGAGATGTTATTACTCAGATAGCTGAATGGCTGGTTTGTAATGCAGAGGGATACTAACAGCATGGGTTCAATTCCCACACTGGCTGAGGTTACCATGAAAGACTCTCCTTTGTAAACTCTCCCCTCGCCTGATACTTTGTAACCCTCAGGTTAACACACCACCAGTCTGTCTGATGAGAGAACAGCTCAATGGTTCGGTTTGACTACGGTGACTTTATCTTAATTAGACACCTCTAAAGAAGGCAGGACTTGAATTTAGGATTCCGAGGTCAGATGTATGGACACGAGGACTGCACCACAAGAACCCTCACAGTGACCAAAGAAACATCAGAAATATCTCAAAGTGTTCCAGCTGCATTGCTGTGAAGTAAAGTGACTTGTCCCCCTACCACAACAACATGAGATAGTAATGCAGTTTTCTGCTCTACAATTGTGTACTAGATTACCAACAAAGCACTGAAAGTTACACTCATTTCCCTTTCCAATTCACTTCTAGTTTTGATGTTTGGAGCGTCAGCCTGGATTTTGTACTCAAGGACTCTGACTTAGAGGCAAAAGTGTAACCAAGTGGGTCACAGTTGGCTAGGCTGGCATTTATTATCCACTTGTAGTTGACCTAAGAAGATGGCAATGAGTTTTTTTTTTAACAGGAGTCACATTGGTTAGTTACTTTGCATCATGTATTTTAGACAATCTAGCAGCTTTTATTGTTTTTTGTTTCTGGTGCTTGCACACAAATAATGATTCCATTTCATAGTTTGCCATAATATGAGTTGTATGCTTGATCTTAAGAATGCTTGATCTTAAGAATGCTCGTCTAGCACGATGAATCCTTTGCTTACCCCGGGATCCCAGAAATAAAGGGCCATAAATGTCAATCTCCACCCTGACAGAAAGCCTCTTACTAATTATACCCTCAGAGCTCTGTAGCTCACCTGTCTCCTGACACAACATTCTACCTTTCCAAGTGGACACAGCAGGCTGGAGACATGCACCAAGGTCTAGGCTTCTCTGAATTTCCCTTCCCTTTCCTTTCCATCAACAAACATCTCCCTTTGTGGCCCTGTCTTTCTGACGCCAGCTTGTCTCTGAAACCAGGGACTCACCGTGTAGCAAAGTTTTGCGCAAGACAATACAACAGAACAATACACTGCTCCTCATGGCTGCTTTGACAGTTTTCCGCGATCTGTCACAATTGAACAATCAAATTTGTACCTCACTGTCTCTTTTACATCAGGCACTGGAGAAAGTGGCAAGAGCACATTCATCAAACAGATGAGAATCATCCATGGGTCTGGATACTCAGAGGAAGACAGAAAAGCCTTTGCAAAGTTGGTCTTTCAGAACATTATCACTGCAGTACAGTCCATTGTGAGAGCTATGGACACGTTGAATATACAATATCAGCTGCCGGAGAATAAGGTAAGATCGGAACAAATAATGTTAAAAAATACGGTCAATGTAAGTCTCATAATTTTAGATTGTTCTATTTTGGGATTGAATTGCCTATTTTATGAAATGATGTTTCTGCCGTCTATATATAAACAGTTTCCATTCTTCTGGATAGCATCCTAATAAATAAGAATAGGATGAATTCTTAAAATCAATCCAGTGGTTTGTCTGCCAGACAAACCTTTTGAGAGACTGCATTGGTTGAAGATTGGTGCCAACATTAATTAAAAAAAAATCACATGGTAAAGACGATAGTCATTTCTTCCTATCAATATCCCACAACAGCAAGTGATGAATGAACAGTTAATCTTTTGTTTTAGGTGTTATTTGAGCAGGAATGTTAGCCAGACACCCGGAGAACTGGTTGCTGACTCTCAAACAGCTCCATGAAATTTTTAATGTTCACCTCAAAAAGGCAGACAGGAGTTTGACACATTGAGCTGGCCAAAAGGCCAGACTCACCCCATATTATAGTTTTATTTAATGGTGTCCCTGCCAATGGTGTCCATCAACCTGTTCCATTGCTGGTGTTAGAGAATGCATTCTCTATATGATGCACAGCAGCACCTGCCAATGCTACTTCAACAGTCCCTCACACCCGCATAGCTTCTCCAATAGGGACAAGGGCACCTTGGAAACACCATCACCTCCAGGTTACACTCACCCAGTGTGCTTCCAGCTCCTTTATTGGTGTTGGGGCACTGTCCTGGAATCCTTTGTCTGGCACCATTGTGGGAAAGCCATTACCATCAGCACCGCAGTGGTTCATATGGAGAAGGCACACCAGCATGTTGTCAGGGTAATTAGAGTAGGTAACAAATGAGGCCTTTGCAGTAAGGCCCACATCCTCAAAAACATTTTGTTTTGAATATGCTGCCTTCTGGTTCATGGGACAGGTTTCTTGTTAAAATATTGAAATGTTTTCATAAATTTTGGAACGAATGATGTACCGTCAAAGATAAGGCTTTTCACTGCAGAATGTAGCTATAAACAAGAGATAGTGGGAAAAAGGAGGAAGATGAGGTCAGGGAACCTCAATGACAACAGGCAATTTTGTTTCGATATTAAGTTGTATGTGCAACAAAGAATAGGATCCTGACAGAAATATTACCTGTTTGGCAGAATGAAGCAATTGCTCAGATTAAATTATTTTCTTGCCAGGCAATCTCAAGTGGGTAATCTCACACCGTATATCCTCTATCTCCTTTTGCAAGTAAAGCATATTAGTTCAGGTAGCCAGCATTTATCAGCTGTGACAACAAACAGCATGGAAAGGGAGATAGAAAGGGAAATATTTCATTTGGGACCTTATTTATAAAGTATTTCTCTTTTAAGTTCTATACATCCACCGGAACAGTCAGGCTTCTGAGATCACATCATACTAGCCATTCTTGTTTCACTTCTGAATTATTCTGTTCAGTAAGAAGGATTGTACTGGAGACGACAGAAAGACAAAACGCTTAACATCCTGAAAGGTTATCAGTGCTATTTTTTCCCTTTATATTGAAACCAGACAGTATTGAAGTACTTCTTCCATGCTCAATAATACTAAGGATGTGATATCTTCATTCAAAGACCAGACATTATTTTATGTTATTGCCCAATGAGCCTTTCTGGTATTTTTCACACTCGTGAATATCAATGTTGGGAATGTGAGACAACAAGGTGTAGAGCTGGATGAACACAGCAGGCCAAGCAGCACCAGAGGAGCAGGAAGGCTGACGTTTTGGGCCTAGACCCTTCTTCAGAAACGTTGCGAATGGAACACTTTCCGATGTTAGCACCAACAAATCCCCAGCTGAACCAGGAATAGTACAGTTTGATACAGATTGAAGCAAGCTCTGTACAACCTCACAATATACCTTAGAAACAGAATGTATTGTAAGTTCTCAATAAATTGGGTAGCATATGTGGAGAACAAAACAATTAACGTTTCAAGGAAGGCCTGTTGACGGTGTGGGAGATGGGGGTGATTAAATAACAGGATCTACTACAGAAATTTACCAAAGCTCCTTCGACATCACCTCCAAAAGCCACAGAATTTCCGTCAAGAAGGACAAAGGGCAGCAGATACATGGGAACACCAACACCTGCAAGTTCCCCTCCAAGCCACTCACCACCATGACTGGGAAATACATCGCCGTTCCTTCACTATCGCTGGGTCAATATCCTGTAGGTCCCTCCCTAACAGCATTGTGGGCCAACCCACAGCACAGGGACTGCAGCGGTTCAATAAGGCAGCTCACCACCCCCTTCACAAGAGTAACTCGGAACAGGCAATAAATGATGGCCCAGGCAGAGACATTCAGGTCCCATGAGCGAATAATTAAAAAGGTTGTGATGCAGGGTGAAAAGGGGCATAATAGGCCAAATTAAGAATAAAAAGTTGAGTTGAGAGGAATTAAAGTGATAACAATGCAACTGCTGCCCTGTGCCTGCTGCTTGAGCCAAAAGTAGGAATAGATCTTCGACTGAACTGGAGAAAGGCAATGCTTCCTGCAACATCATCGCCTCCCCATTACACCAACTAATCATAAGCCTGTCTGAATGACACTGCCAATAGCCTCATAGCTAGAAATCAGTGGAAATATTCACTCCCTAAATCTGGATTGGATTTGAATCCAACTCCCAGGGCTGAAAAGTTCATTGCAGAAAGCAATTTCCTCAACAAAGTGTTAAGGTAACTTGTATTCATAAGAAAGTTGTCACCTGGAAAGTGTTTCAAAACACCTCACAACATAGAGACAGAGGCATAAATGGAGGTGTCAACTTCATGGTCAAAGAGGTAAACATAGAAACTAAGCACATGGGATGTGGGGTAATAGATAGACATGGATTGAGAATTGGTTGACAGACAGGAAACAGACAGTGGGAATAAATTTTTTTCTAAGCAGCAGGCAGTGACTGATGAAGTGTGGCAAGGATCAGTGTTAGGGGACACAGCTACTCACGGTATATATATTTATTGGACAAAGGAACCAAATGAAACATTTCCAAGTTTCCTGATGACACACAACTGGGAGTAGTTGTGAAGAAGGAGGCTTCAAGGTGATTTAGAAAAGTTGTGCAAGTGGGCAAACACAGAGCAGATTCAGTACAACATGGCTAACTACAAACCGATACACTTAGTGCAAAACAGGAAGGCAGAGTACTGTTTAAATGTTGAAATATTGGAAAGTGTAGAGGTACAAATGGTGTCCATATACGTCAGTCAATGAAAGTAGACAGGCAGGAGTGAGCTTTGTACACCCGGAGAAATTCAGAGTGGGCAAAATATGTTACGGTATTTGAAACTGAGGATCTTGACATGCATTTAGACAACCAGCGGAGATTGGTACAAGCCAAAAACAGAAACTGCTGGAGAAACTCAGCAGGTCTGGCAACATCTGTGGAGAGAAACAGAGTCCTATGATCCAGCTTCAGAACTAGGAAGTGAGTTTGGTTGTGGTTAGTGTGAGAGGGGTATTAGATATTATAAGGAATATCAAGCAATTAGAAAAGTAAATGAAATATTGACTTTCATTGCAAGAGGATTTAAGTTCTGAAGGAGAATGTCTTAATGCAGTTATACAGAGACTTGGTGAGACCACAGCTGGCATACTGCATGAAGTTTTGGTCACCCTACCTAAGAAAGGATATTCTTGCCATATACGGAGTGCAGTAGAGGTTCTCTAGGCTGATACCATGGATGGCAGGACTGACCTATGAGGAGAGACAGTTTGCATTCAGTAGAGTTTAGAAGGATGAAAGAGGATCTGATCAAAATGTGTCAAATTCTTATGGGGCTGGACAAACCAGATACTGAGAAGGTGGATTCCCTGGTTAGAGTCTGGAACCAGGGACTCAGGACATAAGGTGGACTATTTAGGACTGAGATGAGGACAATCTTTTTCACTGAAAGGGTAGTGAACATGAGGAATTCTCCACCACTGAAGGCTGTGGAGGCCAAGTCACTGAATACACTCAAGAAAGATGAATTCTTTTTAGATTTTGAGGGCATCAATGGAGCTGGGGCGAAAGTGAGAACGTGGCATTAAGTTAGAAGATCAGCCGTGATCTCACTGAACAGCAGAGCAGGCTGGAAGGACTGAATGGCTTACTCCTGCTCTTTAACTTTATAAAGAGAATTATCAAAAAGCTTCTGAAAATCCAAATACACCACATCCAATCATTCTCCCATATCTATTCTACTAGTTACATCCACAAAGAACTCCAGTTGATTTGTTAAGCATGACTGCAATTTCTTAAACCCATGCTGGATTTGTCCAATTCCATTAATGCTTTCTAAATACTCTGTTATCTTGTCTTTTATAATGCTGTAGCATTTTCCCCATGATTGATGTTAGGCTTACTCATCTATAATTTTCTCTCCCTCCTTGTTTTAATTATTGGGGTTACATTTACCACCCTCCAATCATAGGAACTACTGCAGAATCTATAGAGTTTTGGAAGATGACAACCAATATATTCAATATTTCCGGGGCTACTTCCTTTATCAAATGCCTCAGATTAACCCCATTAATTTCCCTAGCACCATTTTACTACTAATTCTGATTTCTTTCAATTTTGCCTTCTTAAAAGATCTTTAGTTCATTAATATTTCTGGGAGGTTATTTGTGCCTTCTTTTCTGAACACAGAAAATATGTTCAATTATTCCACAACTTCCTTGTTCACCATTATAATTATCTAGCTTTCAATCGTAAGGATCCTATATTTGTCTTTACTAACCTTTCTCTTTTCACATATTTAAAGAAGTTCTTACAGACAGTATCTATGTTCTCTGCAATTTTTCTCTTATACTCTTTTATCCCCTCTTAATCAAACTTTTCTCCTCCTTTGTTGAGTTACAAAATGCTCCCAATCCTCAGGCTTGTTGCTTTTTCTGGCAATTTTATATTTCTTCTCCTTGGATCTAATCTATCCCTAATTTATTTTGAAACCCATGTTTGAGCCACCTTTCATTTTTGTT